GTATATAGATCTCAAGTAAAAAGCGAAAAACGTGCGAAATTTTGTCTTTATTTAATCGTGTTTTCAATAGTTCTGACAGACGCCCTGTTTCATTGAAGGGGAAATGCATTCTTAGTAACGTCGCAGGTTTCGAAAGCGGAAAAGCCTTGTCATGGTCTATTGAATTACATGGATAACACATGACATGTGCATCTTTAATGATTGATGACTTGGCTTTTATGTTTTCTTTGGGATTAAATTGCATAATTTTGTATTGAATGTTCTGCAAAACTATGCAATTTCATTTCAAAAAACCTGAATCTGTAGTCAAAACACCTCTTCATTGCCAAGTTCAATTTCCATAGTGAAAGTAACAACAATCCTATTTGTTTTATATTGGGGGTTGCTTGCATATAATATGTGAACCCGATTTTTAAGATACTTCATAATAAAACCACTATCAATCTGGTCCAGGCATATATCCTAAAAAAACTGCCTTCTTGAAACTACTGCTGTCTTTAAAAACTGGCAATCTAGTTAATATCAAACCTTGTATGTTAAATCTTGACAGTGACTTGATCTAAACAGAAAAGTAGGAGCAGAGGCCCTTTATCCTTTCTATTCAGCTCGAGTGTCAAGAAATTCAACAAAAAAGGTTTATTCAACATGATAGACCCCCATAGTTCCACATTTTTTGGTTATTCAATTACAGAAACATGTTTGCTCATTCACTAACTTTTTTGACTTGAATTGTGTGAATCAACCTCTTCTGCCCATGCTCTGTGATTCACTTGTGTATTTGAAGTGTAAACCAACACCAATACATTCTTCCAGAAAGGTCATCACCTTTGCTATGGAGCCTTGTTTTTGTGACTGAGATGTTGGAATTTAACCAAAGTCACACACGAAAACAAGGCTCTATAGCCAACATGACGTACTTTACAGAAGGGTGTATTATGTTACTGATGTTTCTCCACAAGTACCCTCTTCCTCGCTGGTTTCCTCACTGTTCTCAGTTGCACCATCCTCCGTCAGTGTACCTCGTTCTAAAGCACGGAAAAAAGTTCCTACAAAGAAACGCCATATAAGTCAACAAAAAATAATGATAATGTAAGTTTAGTGTTTTAAAGCAACTCACGTCTTTCTCTTTCAGATAAATATTTGATCTCTGCTTGTAGTTGGCTATCCTTAGCTGCCTGTTCAGCTTCTGTCCCTTTTGATCTAAAAATGCAGGTTTTACTTGATCATGTAAAGCACCAGTAACACAGTGTACAGTTTTCCACACCTTATAGGAAAATACTTTGTAATCATGACCAATACACCCTTCTGGGAAGTATTTCACTTTGGCCATAGAGCCTCGTTTTTGTCTATTAATTAACATTAGTTAAAGCCCATGTCTCAATCACAAAAATGAGGCCCTATGCTAGCCTACTCCGCAGGCAACTCTCTTTGGCAAAAATCTAAATATTAAAAAAATTGGCAAACATGTAAATGTTATATATAGGGTTACTAGTGATCCCTAACAATCCCTAAATGATTCGCTGCCAATTTTTTTAATATTTAGATTTTTGCCAAAGAGTTGCCTGTGGAGAAAGCTAGCCCTATGCTAGCAATGTACTTTCTGGAAGGGTGTATTTGTTCATGAAGTCCAAAAGCTGTTGACTGTTTTAACCCTTTAAGTGGCAATGCATCCCTATTTTATTATTTTACTCTCTCTAACGTCAGACAATCTGCCCATGCATCCTGTTAATTAACCATTTAAGTGGCAATGCACCCTATTTTATTATTTTACTCCGTCTAACGCCAAACGATTTTACTCGTCAAGGGATAGTGCTAATAGTACCACCTCAAAGAGCTTGGTATCAAAATGTAGGTGGGTTTATTTCATGTAATAAATATAATGCTGTTAAAGGTTTTTTTAGATTTGCCTATTTATTGTTTCAATACTAATATAGGGCTTACCTTTCAATTCCACTTCCCGTACTACCACATTTCTCACATACTCCATCTTCTGCAGCACAGTTCATGCATATTGTATGGTATGCATGCTTCACTGTTTTTTGTCCACATTTCACACTAAAATGTCCAAAGTTGGTACAAATGTACTTGATATAGTCTATGTGTGCAAAAACATCGACCAAAAGTTAAATTTATTTGTTTCATGGGCATTTATTTATTGAAGGACACTTTTCTCAAGAATTGCAGGTTATTTTCGGAACAACATTTTTCATGAAGACAAAGGGCACTTTTCGTGTCTTCTGAAAACTTGGGGGGGCCTAGGCTCCCTTGCCCCCCCCCCCGGTTCCTACACCCCTGACCTGAAAAATACAAGGAGGACTTCAACGTTTCGAGTGAAGGCCCGTTCTTCTGTCGATACTAACTTCCCGATGAAGGGCCTTCTCTTGAAACGTTGAAGTTCTCCTTGTATTTTTCAAGTAGTTGCCCCTATCAATCTGAAACTTTCTTATGTGTTCATACATACCATTAGACAATCTGAATGGTATTCACTACTACCAGTACTGATCGAGTAAATCCATTTACCGAGTCAAGACCGAGCCCGAGTCAAATGCCCAAGTCGAATAAAAAAAAGACGAAAGTGAAGAAAATTCACAGTCGAATAGGGTTAGGAGTAGGTTTAGGGTTAGGGTACTAAGTCATTTCACTGACAAAGACAGTTAAACAGTGACTCGGACATTTGACTCGAACTCGGATTTGAGTCAGTCAGTAACCGATAAACTCCGAAATTGAATAAAATTCACAGTTGAATAGGGTTAGGGTAAGTTAGGAGTGGGATTATGGTTAGGATTAGGGTACTAAGTCATTGAACTGCAAAGACCATCGATTTGACTCAGTTAACCAACAAACTCAGTACTGATCGGGTTTGTAGCTAGTTCATCAGGATAGTTTGTATTACGTTCACACAAAGATGGATAATCTGCCAGCCGACGAATTTGTCCTCACAGATTATTCATGTGTAATATAAACCAGCCGATGTCCACACAAACTTACCACTTCTTAGGAGCCGTCAATGGTTTATATTTCTTATATTTTTTCTTCCATTCAATAATTTCTCGGCACCTCTCACAAACTCCCTGGACAACAAGGCCATTTATAGCCTTTGCTGATTTACTTGTATCATGTAAATTATTCTTAAATGCGGTGGCATTTTGATATTTTTGTCCCTTCTTTTTATTATCACCCTTTCTACTAGACATATTGGATTACATTGAATATTTCCCTGGCAAAAACACCAGAACTGTACTTATTATGATAATTTATGAGTAAAATGATAAAAATATGATAATTTATTTTCACTCAAATTAAATTCGCATTCAGAAGGATGGTATTTTGGCAATTATATCTGAAAAAAGCAAGATGGCGGAATCCGAAGGAGCGAAGAGAAATAACGAAATCGCGAGTAAAGTTTTCGTGTTTACTGCGCCTCGTTTTGAAACAAACGTAAATGCTATACAAAAGCAAGGTAATTCGTTGGATAGTGAAGCAAATTGATCGCATTTAAAGTTTACTTTATGCTTGTATAAAAAATTGTTCTTGACAATATTAGAGACCTCTTCGCTTCTCGTATCATTGAGAGTCGCGTGTTCCGTGCATGACTTAAGAAGCTGAATTGGGTCTTAAATTGCATTCTTTTTAAAGAGTAACTCTTTAAAACGATTTTGTTTTCTATTAGCTCACCTAAAGAGGAAGCATTTCAACTGGGAGGTGATCCATTTTGATGTAGAAGTCAATACTACAGCCAAGAAGATTAAAACTCCCAGCACTTCAATGAAAGAAACGTTTTCCAGCGGCTCGACAGAAAGCACCGAAGCATTTTCTACACTAAATTTGCAGCATGAATCTGAAGTTATTCGAAATTCTGTCATAGCTTATTTAGAAGATACTTTTAGTGAGAATAGCAGACAATCTAGCCAGGGTTTTAACACAAACACCGAGTCTGAAGAGAAATCAGAGGATAATAATCCATCAGATACAGCACTAACCAAACTGTCAGCCCAACAAGAATACGCAGCTTCACTAGAGCAAAGCCAAAGGCTATTTGACAAAATGCAAGGATTTGTTGAAATGTCAATAGATGAATCACGCAAATCTGAAAGTCAATCGACTACTGAGGGTTTTAGCCAAACAGAAGATACGCAGTCCTTTTCAAATTCATTAACATCTGATGAAAATTTGGATACACACATATCTCCATTTACAAAGTTATCCGACTGCACCAAACATCTCTCAACTGTCAACATCTTTGTGGTGGTATTGCAAGTTAACCCAATGAAAGAAATCAAAATAAAATCGGGTATAAATTCTGGTCAGTATATAAAGGTGAGTACAGGTGTGGTATATCCTCATACTGTTGGGTTAAGCCTGCTACTGTAGCTCAAGGTTAGGTTGATCCCTGTGCCTGAAAACTTGTGTAAGTTGAGTTGTGGTTGATTCTCTCCAGTGCTGGGATGGATAATTTTCCTGTGGTTAGAATTTGTAGAGTTTCGTTGGTTCTCTCCTGTTTTCTCAGCCCTCTAGGCCTTGGTTGTTGAGCACATTTATCATGAGCCTCTGGCTTGTGTGAATTGCACAACCGTACCCTGTGTAATTGACATCAATTAACATATGCATTACTACAATTAAAGGTGTCTTCAATTCTTGTTGGTGACTGTACCAAAGAGTATTTCAAAATAACATTCTGGCGGAAAGCTGCAGAATGGGTGAACAACCTCAAAGAAGGACATGTGTTGCTGGTGAAAAAACTGAAAGTTGAAAAATGGAACCAAGAGTTTTATGGTCAAAGTACTTATGGTACCACACTTGTAAACCTACAGAGAGATGGTACTAACAGTCACAGAGTACCAGCACAGTGGTTGACTATTGTTAATCACGCAGAAGCCAAGTCGTTGCTGAAATGGTTAAAACGCAAACACCCTTACTTGAGCACAAACAAAACATCGCGTTGTGAAGATGTGCAGTGGAAAACATTGAAACAGTTCGTGCCGAACACACTGGTTCACTACACAGCAAAAATAGTCAAAGTTTTAACGTATGGTAGTACAAAAGGCAAATACGAGTACGAAAAACGTCAAATAAATAAGACCGTCGCAGGTAGGCACCTAATCGTGCTTTAGACTGTACAGAATCGTATATTAATAAACTAAACCCCCGTTTACACTTCGCTCAATTTTCGGTACCGTACCACTTTTTTGGTTCTCGGACTACCTAAATAGGTAGTCCAAGAACCAAAGTGGTACGGGTACCAATTTTATCCGTGCCGTACCAAAAATTGAGCGTAGTGTAAACAGGGCTGAAAATCAGGGCTGTACACAGGATTTTTCACTAGTGAGGCAGTAATACTTATATGCTGAAATAAGTCTCCAAAAGTGATATCAGATGAACTTCCACATTTTCCACTGTTTTCAATTCCTCTTCACTTACCTAAGTTATCTTATGTTTTATGTATATTTTACAGTTGCTGTTGACCAAGAAACTTCAGAAGAGGTTCCTATCTGTTTGTGGGGCAGCCAGGCTGATTGGCAATACGAGTTGAAATCCAAAATAGGACAAACCTGGAACTTCACATTCCTACGTGTTGAATGCAACAGCGTCCATGGTCAACTATCTCTACACACAACACCACAATCTACCAAGAAGCTGCGAAATGAAGAAACGAGTCTTTTTGGTCGTGCTGCGCGTTTGGGACCCCCAAAGAAAGATAACTCAACTTTTTCTAGTATTTCCGAACTGTTGAAAGCTAACTTGAGTGGAAAGGCGACCATTTCTGCTGGAGTTACTAATATCACCTACACAGAAGCTCTAAATTCTCGACATTCTGAAAGAAGCATAGATAAAACTTCAGAGATGGCAACAATACTTGAATTCTTTCGTGGATTAGTATACCTTGGTTGTAAGTTATGTTTCAGAGCTTTAAAACAGGACCACAACGGTATTTATACGCACTGTTCGTATTGTATACAACATAATACAAGTTATTTGTACGGTGTAATGTATTACTTCGGGCCGTGCTGCGTGTGTTTGTCAGATAAATCAGCTTCTATCATCGCTAAGTCATGCCATGAGTCCACAAGAAAGTTTCTAAAGGATGTCAGGCCACAAGATGTTTCGGAAGAAGTCAATTGCGAGTTATTTGAAAGATTAAAGGGTGTCTTTGATACAGTGAATAAAAATGTTAAAGTTGTTCTCAATTGTGAAACTGTACTAGATGAAAATGGTTTCGTTAAAAGTAAGAACTTTGAACTTCTCGACTTACAAATGTAAAGTATTTCAGATATTTCATATTATGTAAAGTTAACAATAAGTACTGTAAATAAATTTATATTATAAATGTGGTTCTTTCCTTGCTAAGAAATAGCCTAATTACCTTGTAAAGACCCATTTACGATTGAAATTTCAGGATATTAATAGGGGATCAGAGAGGTCAAGTGTCTATGCGTAACAAATTATGACGACACTTCTCACCTAATGAGGTGATTAACCAATCATCATCTCCCTAATGAACCAATGAAGGAATCATCTAATCAACAAAGTTGTTAAATTTCTTTATATTTACCAAATTCCCCTCTCTTGATTGTGGGAATGTGGGATATTCATCAATAACATGCGCAATGGTGTCTTAGCCAAATCCGTCCGAAACAATCCGACAATGACGTCACTGTTCCTCTGCCGTATGTTGTTTTGTTTGACTGCGCACGATTATGGGGGTCTGGGATCTATTGTTGTTTTTCAAAAAAATTAAAAAAATAAATTATGTTGAAAATAAATTGAAAAAGTTTTGTTAAAAAGTATTAATTGTTGTTTTTTTCTTCCAAAATGCCATGTATTTGGATAAAGCAAGCATTGGCTGTGAAAGGGAATAAATTTAAGCTTGAAGACGTGTCTTTAAATGCTCCTGTATCCGAGTTAAAAGCGAAGCTGTCGGAATCTAGTGGAATTGACGAAAAATTGCACGGTATTTGAATAGTCTCCTGTTTCTATAGTCGTTCAGAATAATACTTCAATGTGGTAAATCACTATTTAATCCATTGTCTTTCCTGCAAATAGATGTAATTTACAGAGGATTGCTGCTCCAGGATGACAAAACATTAGAGTCATATGGTCTGAAAGACAATGCCACAATTTACATCATTTACAAAGAACCAAAAGTTGAAGGTAACATTACCCTGGGACCCAGGTTGAGGTAACATGCCCCCTGCCTTCCATTAAATCCACACACCCTGGGTTTTAAGGTTTTGAACACCCCCTCCCCCTAGAAAATTAGCACCCACTACCAGATGAGCCTATCAAAATATTGTATAGACATACCTATTTGGGGGTAGTGCCAGTGTAGGTAGTGGCAATAAATAAGAAAGCTTCAGATTGATAGGGATACAACTACCTGAAAAATACAAGGAGAACTTCGACGTTTAAATAAAAGTCCTTTGTTGGGGTCATTACAGTATCTACCTATACTATCCAGCCTTGTGGTTGGTTGATTATAACAATGAAAGACAATAAAACTATAGAAATCGTCTTTCTAAAGAACAAGTCACGAACAATGATCATTTTTGTTTCTGATTTGTTTCTGAAAGCCCATCACAAAACATGATCATTTTAGGTACTGTAGGTGAGTAGGTCTTTACCCGGCAACCTTTGGCCTTCTCTGGAAATGTAGAAGTTCTCCTTGTATTTTTAAGGTGGTTGCTTCCCTATCAATCCAAAGCTTTCTTAATGTTTAGGCACTCTATATTTGACCAACTCTTCTTTGGATGTAGGGCTTGATTTTGATGTCAATGTGGAAGATATTATCCCAGTTCTTCAAGCCGCAGCAGGAAGTCCTGTTTACAAAGACAAGGTAGTTGCCAGTTGAGGTCAACAACATGAAAATGACAATATAATAGCACTGAGATGATGGTCCATTATTTTAATTATTTTCCAAACTAGATGTCTGCATTACTAAAGAACCCAGAAACATTAGAGACAATATTAGCGACAACACCGGCTCTTGCTCATGATCCTGTGGCTTTATGTAAGTAAATACCACAGTAGCAGCAAGATTTCACAAAAGAATGCAACAAAGTTCACACAGAAATATTATGCAGTGATTTTAACTTTTATCCAATGTTTCTCCAGCAATTCTCAGAGATCCGGAAATCCTACAGAATCTTGTGCAATCGGGCAACATTTCCAAGTAAGCTCTTGTCAATTACCAATGATTGACATAATAAATATGACTATGAGGACTGGACTAGATTTCAAGTCTGCACAGTTTAATCAAAATCTGAATCAAAATGCGAGGACTTGAAATCTTGTCCAGTCCAAATTGGAGGATTTGAAATGACATCTCATACGAATAAATCACTACTTAACTTACAGTAAGGTGAATTAATTTTGATGCAGTCCTAGGACTGAATCAGTATACTTCACCAGTATTATCATGTGAGCAAAATACAGCAATACTCTATTACAACTCAGAAAGATGGTGGTGAAAAGTGATGTATATGCAACAGACTGTTGTTTAATAAAATTGAATGAACAACAGAACCTCATCCCAATAGTGAAAATGATGATGATACTAATCAAGTAATTACTGTAGTTTTGGTTGAGCCGAGCCCTGGCTAACATATATGGCTAACTTGCATTTAGGTTAGCAGAAGAACACCCTGCCCTTGTCCAAGCAGCATCACATGTTGCCGCTGATATCACCAAAGACATTCCGGGACCGTCAAGACTTCATAGAAATTCTGAAGATGATGATTTGATGGACATTGAACCAGAGGTAAGAAAAACTGCAGTTTGCAATATCTCACAATCTCAAAATTTCCGTCTACAAAACCTATCTACTATTTTAATAATTGTCTCTTCCTCAAGATGCTGGCTCAAGCAGAATTAATGGCTGCCCATGAAGAGGCGATACAAAACCGTCAGAATCCTGGCAGACGTCATCCTATCACGCCATCGTTTCTAGCATCAGCGTTGCAAGTGGCCGGAGCGAACGTCGTGTCGACCTCGACACAGACAACTACAGGTGAATATCACAAACTTCTACGGGTGTGTCATCTTAGGGGCGGACCATTAGAAATCCCGAGGGGGGAGGGTGAAAATTTAAAAAAAAATTGTGCAAAGAAAAATGCCTGGAAACAAAAATTCAGGCAGCCATTACATCAGAGAAAAAAAATTGCGCAAGCAAACCGCAAAGTTAAAAGTCTTGAAAAAAAATTTGTGCAGAGGTTAAATGAATAAAAAAAATCCTGCAGAGACACGAGACTGAAAAAAAATTGTAGGGCAAAAATTTTATCCCTCCCGGGATTTCTAATGGTCCCGCCCCTTAACTTGTGAGACACACGTCTTGCAGACATTGCAATCTACTATAATATTGGAAAGCTTCAAAGCTTTCTTATTATTGCCACTACCCACACAGGGTTTTTTTCAGGGATTTTTTAGGGCCGTAAAACGGCCCCAAAAACTCAATCTTGAATTGAGTTTTGAAACTCAATCTTCTCACCAAAGTTTCAGTGCAGTAAAAATGAAGTTGTTTGAGTTAAATTTGTGACGTGAGGTGCTTCCAGTCTGACTTTACCAAACACCGCACGTTTCCAGTTTTAGTTCAGGTAATGTTCTTCATAGTTCATACAGGATCATCAAAGGCCACCTCTCCACAGAGAAAAACCTGTATTCTGCACGATGTTTGATGCAGTGAAACAGGAGCACTCTTCTCGAATGTGAAATTTTTAGAAAAAACACTTACATCGTTCCTCTCACATTTCTAGTGAATTTACCGTCGACGTCAACAGGGACAAGCACGCCACGAGTTCCCCAACAAGAACAACAACAACAACAGCAACGACAACATCATCAACAACGTATATCACCGGAATTTTTCAATCAAGCAATGGCCTCCGCCTTGAGTGCAAACGCTGGTAGAAATAACTGGCAGGTAGTAATTTTAATAAAATTGAATCACCGTAGGACGTTAAACTCCCCCACCACCACCACCACCACTTTAACTGCACTCGGTAGAGAGCAGGCGGGGTATGCTGGGATTTCTTTCAAACTTTAAATAACATCGCTCTAGGTCAGAAATTACGTTGCACACGTTGCAACAAAAATTGCCTCGTGTCACATGACCTTGAATGTTACCGAGATTGAGACCAGCGTCAAACGTCGAACTTTTCATGCGTCGAACTTTTCATGCGCCGAACCTAATGCAAATGAAGTGAAACAAAGAACGTAGCTCATTAACATTAGGTTCGGCGCATGATCATACATGAAAAGTTCGACGTGTGACCCCAGCCTGATGTTTGCCAATTCCAAGGCAACTTCCTCTTTTAGCGTTCGCTGTTGTTTCTTTCAGTCTGAAGTACAGCAACTGCGTGACATGGGGATTGAAGACGAGGCTCTGAGCCTGCGAGCATTACAGGCAACGAACGGTAATGTGGAAGCCGCGTGTAATTTAATATTTGAAGGAGGCCTGGACTGAGTCTCTATAATGTCCTTATAATACTGTTCAAAAACTAGCTATGAATCACATATTACATGAAGTGTATATTTTTGAAGCCTTGGAATTTTTGTATTCTATTGTATAAAATTTTAAATATATAATATGTTGCATACACCGACTTTAATTTGTAAAGTACTCTTTTCAAACCAGGCGAAATCTGCATATGTGAACTAATATTAGCCATATTAAGCAAGCATGAACAACGATGTTACGACTTTGTAACTTTATACTCGCTCTATAAAATTGAAACAGTCCAGATATCCCACAGTGTTCGAACACGGACTGTAACAGGTACAAATTATAATATTCAAATTATCACCACATGTGTTCTGCAGACCCTAGCAACATTCTTCTATATCAAAATGAACACGAAAGTCAAAGACGTACAAATTTGAGTATACCATCTTATGATAAGGACCCACTCTTCTCCACAGAAGGAATATAGTTAAACACGAAGGCTATATATAGTTACACTCCCTAATTGACCATTTGCGTAATAGACTAAATTTTGATCTCAACAAAAATTTCAATACAGCTTGAAAGAACATCACAAAATTAGTAATATTCCAAAGTTTCGTTGCAAAATGTTGTAAAATGCGGAAAATATAGCCTTGCGAAATTTGCAATTTTCAGTCATTTTAGATTACAAACCGGAAATTGACAGCCTCGAAGGGTTTGGGGCTGTCAATTTCCTGTTTGTAATCTAAAATGACTGAAAATTGCAAATTTCGCAAGGCTATATTTTCCGCATTTTACAACATTTTGCAACGAAACTTTGGAATATTACTAATTTTGTGATGCTCCTTCAAGCTGTGATGAAATTTTTGTCTAGACTTGTTTAGTTCAAAATTTAGTCTATTACGCAAATGGTCAATTCCTTTGCGAGGGAGAGTGACAATGCATCCTATATAAACTACATAATTATTTAAATGTTCGTTTTCCCGTCCGAGTTCTAGTGTTCTACCTATATATAACCTGTAGTCTTCAAATTTGCCAAATACAATGAAACTGACTTTCAAATGACTAAACGTCAAGCGAATTTTTATCTCTCTCGGTTAAAAGCAAAAAACTGGTAAAACACAAAAACATAATCATAATATAGAGGATCGCAAGAGCATAGAAGAATGACCGAACTGTTCGCAGTTTTCCCGTTTCCACGTCAACTCTTTCGCAAAAATACAAATGTATGAAATATACGAGTGATATTAATGAAATGATGACGATACCGTAAGATACTGTATTCACTCCATAGTGCTTCATGTATGCCATGAAACCGTTAAGCGCCAGGCAATAGAATATTAACACGAACGCCTTGACAAACCGTAGGATTCTTTGCTTTCCTTCGATCTGAGCTTCGATGGTTCTGGGGTCGGGGAAACAATCTTTACAGCTACTGGCCGAAGTAAAACATCTTGAATTCAGGAATGCCTTTAAATTCCACATTTTCGACGCTATTGAAGTATTGTATAGGGAAATAACAAAATGCAAATGTACAAAAGTATACGTTAGATCTCGGCTAATGTGGAAATTAATTTGTGTTTTAACACTTTACCAATAAACTCGTAATGGCTTCAACAGATATCTTTATAACAGGGAATGGGGAAGTAAGGCTTGAATAGATGGTTTGAATGATTGAGTCAACTCTTCGCTAAGTAGCCTTCACAAAAACCTCGGTCCTTTGGCCTTGTCTTGAGAAGTATATAATACAGTTTTCCTGTCTTCACATGAAATGTAGGTATGTAAATGGGCCTGTTAGTGTTGTGCCATTTTGCCAATAACGTTCAGTGTTCAGCTCTTATACTCGGATATTGGTTTGAATAGATAACTCGGCAGTCTTCACACAAAATGTTTCTTGATTCTTTGAGAGCTTATATATATACCGCTTTTCTCTATACCACATATAAATTCTTGCTTCAATATTAAAGACGCTGTTTGCATGTAAATTGGCCTCTGTTATGCCACTTTGCCAATAAAGTTGGCGTGGTTAAGCTAGCAATGAATGGCTTATATATCGGGAACTCTTCTTCAGATCTTCACTAAGTGTCCTTCACAGGCCTGGTTTTTCGAGAACTTTTTAATATACAGCTTTTCTCGAGACTATTCTTTACCCAAAAAATTTCTTCCCTCGATATTCCTAGGTAAATACGTTGATGTTAGGTCTCGGCAATGATGATAATTGTTCTGTGCCTTGACAATGACCGTCTCTTCTCAGTAGTATCTTCGTTTTCGCTAAGTAACCTTCACACAAATCCTTGGTCCTTGCGGAACTTTTATACCGCTTTTAGACTTAATTCCACATAAAAATTCTTGCCCGATATTACAGACGTTGTTTAATTATCACAGTTTACAGCCGATCAATGAGTCGTGACGGTATTGTAATATGCCATATCTGAATAACAAATGAGCGGTAAGGACAACATTAATTATATCGTGTACACAAAAGCAACGTTTTTTAATTTCGGCGCGTAAAATTAAGCCACAATTGCCAAACATCGCTTATTTTAATAACCGATAATTGCGGTAAAGACGCGTAACGAAATACAGGTCCTGACGCTCGGCAAAGGTCGGTATAGTGTCCCTGGTAGTGCTTGCTTGCTTCGAGCGTTTGGACATTGTTACGGAATAATGGCAGCTAATCTGCTAAAACGTGTTTACGCCCGATACTATAAAAGTTGGCGCAGTGGAAAATGAAAGGGGAAAAATCGCACAAAAAGGGAAAGCAAAGAAAAATCCAAGCTGAAAATCCCCCCTCCCCTGTCACTTTTCTCATGGTTCGCCCCTAAAATAAGCGACTGGGAAGGGGTCTACTCTGGAAAAGAGGCTCTGATAGTATGCATTGTATGCAAAACATGTATTTTATCTTTGTTAATAAATACCGCGTGTATATCACACTTGAAAAGTGATATGAAACGCAGCAGGCAATGTACACAACTTATTTTCGTTTCAAATTACATCGAAAACAAAACGAAAACTGCCAGATTACGTTTTCATTTTTCGCGCTGTCATATCGAACATTGCACTAAACGCAATTAGAAAGCAGATTTCAAAACTATACAATGGTGTAGCCAGCCTGACGATTTGGTCCCGCTATGCAGATTTCAACTCATCATTTAATATTCATTCCCTTAGAAATTGATTATGTCGATAGTTTTTTTTATATAAACATTGCAATATTTGCATAGCGGGACTGAATCGTCGGAGGAATCATCGGGCTTCCTACGCCAATGAAACTATAGAATTCACTGCATGTTTCAAACGAGATTTGTCCAAAAGAAAGAGCTGCATTTTTAATACTCATGTTTTCTATATTGTTAGCCAGAGTGCCAGACTTGTTTTATTTGAAAGTTCAAATCTGTTAGAAGTTAAGACGTTATGCTAGGCAGTATTTACAGCTGTTTACTGATTTCAAATTATCTGTTGTTGGCTTTGAAAACATGCCGAGAATTATGTTAATTAGTCACGAGTTTATCCCGCGCTCTCTCAAATAGATCAATGGAGATTTAGCATGATTAAAATAACTGTCCCGGCTAATTCAATGTCTGCATCTACACTATCATGTGACTCTGTCACGTACTAAAAACGTACTAAAACTCGTAGTTACTGCTAAAGCTGGTAATATATATTCTAGACTTTGCCCGGCACTCGACCGAACTCAGTATTGAATACGCATATTTATTGATTCAAGGTCGTGAGCTGACACTCAACTGAAATATGTTTGCATCATGTTTCGCAGATAAGACAAACTCTGAAATCACAACATTCAATAACTACAGCAATTTAACCTGTGTTCCAAAGACTAAACGTCAACTGTACTAAACTTCTCTTTGAAAGGCTAAAGTTCAACAGTAAATAGCCTGGAGCGGAATCAATGTGCCCAGATTCTGTGCGCCTACGTACGAATTAACAATTTCCATGTAAATCTGATTATTTTCCTTGTGCCCTAGTTTAAAGATTTTAAAGGGTTGCATGAGAATTGATGAGAGCTGAGTGGATAGTTACTGCGCGGCAGCAAAAAGTCTCATGGAAATTTGAACCAGCTCAAAGTGAATGAAAACAGATGAAATTTGGAGGTTAAACACGAACGCGAATGAGACGCAACTCTCGTCAACTTTCATTCTTGTTTTCCTTAATACCCGCAGGAAAATCTCAGACTGTTGTTTTTGGTGTGAGATGGTTGAGTTAAGGGTACGTAAATACATATACGTACGCTATATTATACCAATATACATAGTAAAGTAGTCCTTTTGAACTATCTGTTTCTGTACTAAGATGTCAGATACAGCCGTTTTCGAAAACAAAATTGATAAACAGTCTTTCCTTTACAGTACAATATAACGACAACATACCTTGATAAACCTAGCCATTACTTGCACAGCCTCTGCAAGCCACCCGTCGAATCCTAGTACGCTATTAAAATAACCCAATATTGTTTTTACTCAACTTTGTACGCCTCGTATTACAGTGCTAATCAACCTCGATCCCAGGGGGGGGCGGCGTAGGTTTTAAGCAATTAAGGGGGTGGGCTTGAGCGCGGGAAAGGCGAAAATAAAAACCAGGGCGCTTATATACTTATAAGCGCCCTGATAAAAACGCTCTCGCTGGTTATCTTTTCATGTCACACAATCACGAATCCTAACCCTAACCTCCAAATCAATCATATTTCGTGACAGCGTGACATGAAAATGCAACCCCATTTGCTCCTTTCCCGCGCCTCACCTCCCTAATTTTCGCTGCCCACGCCTCAACCCAACCCCTAAGACCGCGAGCTAAGGCTAGTAGGCTTATGGCAGTAGAGTTCACTCCCTAGAGGCGGCACGAAGGACGAAAACAACCTCCTAACCAGCACGTCTGAATAAAACACCACAAGCGCACGCTGGGTACGAGATTGGGGGCATTCTCGTACCCAGAGCCCTTCTTACGCGCGGTGCGACGAGGGGCTCTGGCCAAATCCATAACCGGATACCATAAAAATATGGTAA